CTGGCCCTATACAACCCTATTTTTAAGGAAAATTAAGACTGAAAAATAAACCTTACCTAGGATATGTTCTTGAGGGGATTGGATTAAGCCAAAGAACAAAGGTGGGGACCGGCCGGGTTGCGCATTGGTTAGGAGCTGGCTTGGGACGCCAGAGGGCCCCTGTTCAGATCCCACACACGAGGGCCAGTGACACTGCCCTCTACAGCTAAGATGCTGAACAGCAGCTCAACCTGGAGCTGGGCTGCCGTCAGGCGCCGGTGAGGGCGTAGGCTGCAGCACCTGCTGCAGTGGGTTGCCATGGGCTACCCTGTGTAGCCAGCAGCCAGCGAGAGCGGCCAGCAGCCATGAGCAAGCTCAGACCAGGAGCCAGGGACTGATCTGCCTCGCCCAGGAAGAGCGCAATGATGGTGTCAACTTGGGCCAGTGAAGCAACGTCCTCCACAACTAGACTAAAGAACAAAAAGGACAGCAACATCTCTGTTCCCCTTCCCCCAACTCCCCAGCGCTGCTCCCATCCCCCAATGAAAATCTTTAAAAAAAAAAAAAGAAAGGTGGAGGCCACAGAAGAGGGAGGAAAGTTAAAGATAGCGGTTGCAACGAGCCAGCGAGGCCCCGCCCCTACCACGCCCACCAAGCCCAGGACCCGCCCTAATTCCCCCCTATTGGACCTAAGCTTCGCCCTCAGCCTTCGCCTAGACCCGGCCCACCAGCCGCACTCTCCGGGTCCCTCCGATCCAACTCCAGAGTCTAACCCAGGGAAGGAAACTAGAATTTCTCCTCCGAGGGTGGATGTAGAAAGCTTCTCCCGCCCGGAGAACCGGAGGCCGGGTCACTTCCGCTCCCGGCGGCCCCCAGACTAGAAGCGGAAGTGCGCGGCGGAGGCGGCGGCGGGCGATGGCTCTGCAGGGTGCTCACGGCATGCTTCGCTGGGAGTATCTCCCCGGGGTTTGCAGGTGCGGCTCAGTTCCTGGGGAGGGCTGGGAGAATAGAGAGGAGCCTTACGACCTAAGATAGCCTCCCCCGCCGAGTGCTTTCTCCCCGCGGTCGCCCTGGCGACGGGATGGGGCGCGCACAGCTCGGCCTTGCAGCCGCGCTCCACCACCCCTAAGGCCAGGTACCTCGCCCCCAGGTAACCCCCCTCCAGGCGGACGGGACTGCCATCCATGTATCGGAATCACAGTGCAGTCCAGGTCCTCCTGCACGTGAGGAATGGTGACACTGGCCAGCCCCAGCTCTCACCCATCCTCGATTTTAGGGCCAAACCCTAGCGCCCTTATGCAAGATAACTGTTTATAAGCAATTCACGTTTTATTTAATATGGCATTTCATAGTATCGGGCTCTGTTGAAAAGTTAGGTCCGAGTCTACATGTGCTACTTGGTTTGAATGACTTGTCAAGCAAATTTAAAAAATGGAATGCACCCTCTAGCAAGGGATGAATTAGATGATTATATATGTGTGTGTGTGCATATATATATATATATTTTTTTTTTTGTTGTTTGTTTGTTTGTTTTGTTTTGTTTTGTTTTGTTTTGTTTTTGTTTTTGGTGACTGACGATTTGCAGTTCCTAAGCTTAGGACCTGTTTACTTAGCTTTCGTTGCGTTTCCCTTTCATGTCTCTCTCTCTTTTTTTTTTCTTTTAAAACGGCTTTCAATTTGTTACTTTTACTTTGTATCAGTGCTTTTCACTGTCAGGTGAGGGTGTCTTAAGAAAAGCTATTTGTCAATTATGTCACAAGTCTTCTCGAGGAAAAGTAAGACTCTTCAGTTCTTTTCACGTTGGCTCTGCTACCAAACAAGGGTTACCACAAGCCTGTAAATCACCGCAAAACTTCAAAACATGGGCTTCCAGGAAAAAGATGACATACATAGCTTTGTTAATACTGGGCATTGAAATTGAGTTGGCCATAAATGAGATGTCTTTTATTTTTTTTAAATAATAGGGTTAAAGCTCACCTACCGAGAAATGAGGAAAAATTAATTCTGGAGGAAAATTAAACATCAGATTTCAGTTTTACGAATGAGATGTTAGTTTTCAAAAGGAATACATGTTACACCTCACCATTTTTAGAAAGAATTAACATTTTTTAAAGACGTATGAAATCTGTTGTGGATTATGTTATATGAACAGGCACATTAAGTCATTTTTATATTTATTTTTGTGTTTTTATATTTTGTGTGCCTCTGCATGCAGGCGCATGTCTTCTTAGGCTAGCTATACTGCATTGTTCTTTGGGAGTGTTGATATTTGGCACATTTCTTTGGGGGTTGCCTTGGATGGACTGGGCCCTGTATAGGGGGAAACAATGCCAGCAAAATAGATACAGTGCTTGTGTCTGTGGATTTTTTATTCTATCTGGGAAGACATTTTAAATTAATCATGACGAGGGTGGTATGGAAACATGGAACAGGAGAACTTGGGGAGGAGGTCAGGAAAAACATCTCAAAAGGGACAAATGTTTGAACCTAAAAGATGAGTTGTATGTAGCTAGATGGGTTTTGGCTATGGAATAGGAGTGCGGAAGAGATTTGAGAGACCATCCAGATGTACAATCCGTTAGGCAGGAAAAAGCCTAGTGGATTCCATGAGCAGAGAAAAGACAGGGAAAGCTGAAGTAGAGAAAACAACGTGCAGAATGGATGAGCCGGGTCGGAGAGGAATGCACTGCCCTGAAGGTCATGGTAAACTTTGGACCTTGTTCTAAGGCCATTGGGAAGCCACTGAATCAGAGTTTTAGTTAGGGTAGTGACATGATTTTGTCTGTGATTTCAAACCAGCTTCTGGATTGAGCTGGAGTTTGGGATGGACAAGAATGAAGGCAGAGTCCATATGTATGTAGGAACCTGGATAAATTCAGGACTCAAGATAATAGTAGTTGAGTCTTGATGGATAATTGTGAAATTGGAAAAGATACCATCTTTGAGACACATGTAGAGGTAGAATTGAGAATTTGGTGATTGATTTATTCTCCACTACATGATATAAAGCAGGTGTTGGCAAATTACGGCCCATGGGTTTCTGACCCAATGCTGGTTTCTATAAATAGTTTAATTGGAGCACTTTTAAAAAAAATGTGTTCTTTCTCTATGACTGTTTTTGTGCTACAACTGCAGTTAAATAGTTGCTATAGAGACCATCTGGCCCATAAATCCTGATATTTACTATCTGGCCTTTTAAAGAAAAAGTTTGCCAACTCCTAATATATAAAGTACTTAGTGTGCATCAAGTGCTGTGCTGATGGCAGGATTTGGGGTTCTGAAAAAAGTGAACACAGGCCTGTACTTAAGTTTTTACATCATAGTTGGAGAGAGAAAGGCAAAATCACCTAAACAAATAAATATAAAAATCACAACTTGATAAACGTAGTGGAGGAAAAGTAGAAGGCGTTGGAGGTATCTTGAGGGAATATAAGAGGAGTAATGATCCTTTTCTTAGGTAAGAGGAGGCAGTAGAAATGGTCCAGTCCCACGATCTGCAAGGTGGTACTGGGGGCCCAGGATATTGCTTACTAAGATAAAGTCCCTGTAAGTGTTTTTTGCCCACAAAAAAGGAATTATCTGGGTCACACCCTTGTTTGGTGCTCTGCTTCCACCCTCACTCCTTCTTATACTCCGTCTCTCTTTTATTGCAGAGAGGATGCCTGCTGAGACCTTAAACCCTGCCACTGGCGTCATGGTGAGGGGCTGGGGAGTCTGGATGGTGGGGGGGGCATAATTATGTACTCCGGGCCCTATGCCCTGTCTCCTTGCCATCAGCTGAGGAAGAAAGGAGCATCTTCTCCCCTGCTCCAGGGGACCTGGCGACCTCTTTCAGTGTGTGACCTCAGGAGGGAATTGGCTTGGGAGGAGAGTTCCCACAGAGACTCTGGGGCTCTGTGCCTAATTCCGGAGCCTGACTGCAGAGTAGGGCTCGTTTAGAGCTGGCAGCAGAGCTCTTCCAGGGTCATCCCTGCTCTCCCTTGTGAGATTACCCTAAACACATGTGGCTGTAGAAATTTAAAGTTAAATTCATTAAAATCCAATAAAAGTAAAAATTCAGTTTCTCAGTTACCTGAGCCACATTTCTGAAGTGCCCAGTAGCCACATGTGCAGGCATAGGACACTCCCATCCTCCCCGAGAGCGCTATTGGACAGTGCTGCTCTAGGGAATCCTGAAATTACAAGGCCACTTCTCAGAGGCAATGGAAGTCCTATTTTAACAGGCATAAAAGATTACTACATGCTTATAGAAGTCTAGGGATGGCACAAAAATTAAGCAGTCAAGCCCAAACTTCTGATGACTTAAATACGGAGTTTAGGAAAAACCCTCTAAGCTGAGAAGTACAGGCTCTGCCATCATTGGCCAGTGAGGTGACAGAGAAAGCCAAAACTTATACTTTCGGATTTGTCCAAGTGTTAAAAGAACCATAAATATTTTTGGCTTGGCGGGCAACTGCTCAGTTCTGCCTTTGCAGCACAAAAACAGTCATGGAGATAGGTAAACAAATGGGTGTGGCTGTGTGCCAATAAAACTTTATTTACAAAGACAAGTGGCCCCGGGCTTTGCTGAGCCCTGGAATGGAGAGAGCTCCCTGTCTGAATGCTCTTGTGCTGTGTTTCCCTTCCCCAGTGGTAATCAATCTTCCTGCAGAGTGGCGGGTATGGTCCTTGCTGAGCCAGAATATGTGTGTGCTATCTTAGGAATCAGTCATCTTCGAGGATGTGGCGGTGAGGCTCATCCAGGACTGGGCGTTGCTGAATGGCGCGCAGAGGAACCTGTGCAGATACGGGATACTGAACAACTGCAAGACACTGGCTCCCGGGGGTAAGGCTGGCACCACTCCCACCCTTCTTGTACGTAGGCGCCAAATGCTTAAGGGCCTGCCACGTGACCACAAAGGTTTGGTGTGAGCTTGGTGGGGTTTACGGTTCACTGTTTCATAACAGAGCTCCATCTCTTGCCCTGACTACATTTTCTCCATCGTCAGGACCTGTGCGGGTCTCACTGACTTTGGTCTTGGACCTCAGGGCTTAGATAACCTCAGCCCCATGGAGCAGAGAAGAGGGTGTTTGTGGTTTGGGCCCTTGTGAATGAGCTTCACTGAGTTCATTAGAAATTGGGCGTGATCACTTTGCTACCATCCTACTCGCCCAGCATCATGAGCTGAAGTCCACACGGAAGCTGGCTGGCTGGTGGGGAATCGTCTGTTTTCCTCTGCAAGTCCTCCCTCCCTCAGCACGTGTCTTTCTCCATGAGCAGGGACTTCACCATGCAAACCCAGGCTTGTTTCCCAGGTGGGGCCACCAGAAGAGCGGAGGGCAGCAGAACAAGGCATCCTCCGTACCATGGGTGTGGGTGAGTACCAGGGGGCGCCAGGTGCAGGGAGCTTGTCAGCCACCCTCGGATAGTTGGGAATTGTCAGTCTGACAGCATCTTAAAGGCTCTTCATTCTGGGGTGCGGTTTCTCAGGTGAGTTGCTTTAGCTTTTCTTTTTTCACATTCTAGCTCTCTCTTACACTTACCGTTGGTCACAAAAAAAGATACGTTCCAATTTCTCTTGTTTGAAAAAAATCTGAGATATTTACATACCATAAAATTCAACCTTTTAAAATGTGCAATTCATTGGCTTTTAGTATATTCACAAAATTGTGCAACCATCACCACTATAACTCACCTCAGAATGAAACCCTGTCTTCATGAGCAGTCACTGCTCATTCTCCTCTCCACCCCCAGGCCCTGGCAACCACTAATTTACTTCCTGTCTCTGTGGATTTGCCTGTTCTGGACATTTCATATCAATGGAATTATACATGTGACCTTTGGTATCTGTTATCTTTCAGCATACTGTTTTTGAGGTTCATCCATGTTGTAGCGTGTGTCAGTTCTTAATCTTACTCAATCTTAAAAAGAATGAGTAATATTCCACTGTATGGATGGACCACATTTTGTTTATTCTCTGTTGATGGACAGTTTGGTTATTTTTACTTTTTGGCAATTGTGAATAGTGCTGTTGTGAACAATCATGTACAAGATTTTACGTGGACATGTTTTCAGTTCTCTTGGGTATATACTTAGAAGTAGAGTTCTGACTCATATGGTAACCCAATGTTTAACTTTTGAGGAAACACCAAACTGCTTTCTAAAAACATTAGTGTACCATTTTATGTTCCCACCAGTGGTGGATGTGAGTTCTGATTTCTTTACATCCTTACCCACACAGATTACCCAATTCCTCTTTAAGTTGAACATTTCTGTGTGTGTTCTTTATCTAATTGCTACTTACTTGTTTCTCTGATAACTCTCTTTTTGGCAACATCAGTCTCATTCCCTCCCCATAGAATCTTTTGCTCTGAAAAATAGGCGTTTGTTTCTCCTTGTTCCTGTCACTTCCAAAATCCACACACAGTCCTACTCTTTGAAGTCTCACTTTGCTCACTGATGCCTTCTTCTCTTTCAGTGCTTTTCCAAGTTTAGGGTCAATATATTTTTGGAAAAAGCCTATTTTCTTGTGTGTCGATTTCATACCACTACTATTTCTTTCTGAAAGAAGTTTTTTCCCCCCTAATTCATTTTAGACTGGGAATCTCAACTGAAACCCAAAGAGTCTACTCCTATGCAGGATATTTTGGAGGAAAATTCATCTCATGATTTGCAAATGGCAAGATTCACGGTGGGTGATCCTTCATTCCCCCTCATTGGAGAATTTGCGGAATATGTGACTTGGAAATGTACCCCAGGGCCAGGGAGCCATTTGAGCCAGGGCCTTCCTCCAGGGTACCCCCCTAGTGTCTGAGAGGACACTGTGACCATAACTGTGAATATGACTATTCACATAGTCTGTGACTCATGAGTTTGGATAAACTCTGCCTGTCGTTCAAGACTTTCTATCTAGGAGGTTCCCCCAAGTAAGCATTTCTTTCAATGTGAGTCAGACATGGATTGTGTGAAATGTGATTTATTCTGCGACAATCATGAGAAACATGCTGTCTGTTAGGGAAGCCCCAGGAACGTTAAGACTGTGGGAGAGCCTAGTGGTGGAGCCCGCAGTGTCTTGGAAGAACGTGACCTGTGTAAACAAGGCGCGCCTCTGAAAAGGCTGAAGATGTGCCTCACCTCTGATGGGAGCATCCGTGGATGTGGCGTGGATGTCACGGATGCTGGCGAGCTTTTCGTCATCATGTGCCCCTTTTTGGGAGAGCACACTCTGCCTGGAGAGAAGGCCCCAGTATTTTAACTGCAGTGGGAAAGGCTTCTGGACGAATTGTAATCATAACTGGACCAAGAGAACCCATAGGAGAGAGGGCCGCTCTGATTGTAAAGAACATGGGCAAGTTAGAGATCCCTCCCCACTTAGGAGACAAGTCGAGATCCCAGACTGGAAAGAAACCCTTTCAAAGCTGGGGAAAAGCCTTCAGCACCAGCTTGCATGTCACGGTGCCTTAGTAGTTACACACGGAGCCCTTCCGTCCCCGCTTTGGCCCTGAGTTCCTGCCTCTCCAAATTTCAGGAGCTTCCAAGATTTGAGTTCCCATTCTTGGGGATTTTGAGGGCTAGGGTTTGGATAAAGGAACATACAGACCCCATCTTCACTGCCTGGGCTGGGCCTGCTTATCCTGGAGCCACTGAGATCTCTGGGTTTCCTCAGTCTGCACCCCTCCACCTCTGTCATGGATGGTGTCGGCCTCAGAGCATCAGAGACACCAGGCCAGTGGATGGACAGGTATGGTCCGTGTTGTAGAGACCTTTGGCCCATTCTTTTGTCCTGAGCAGGGGAGCTGCAGCCCTGCATAACCCAGTGTGGGCTGCAGGGCAGCCAAAACCCTTGCCCCGGCACGGCCTGCAACAGAAACCAGGGCAGCTGAGACCCTCCTCCTCCCCAGGCCTCATTGTCCTTGGTTTACACTCTTGTTTAGGTAGACGGTGTCTTCCAGTAGCTGCTTGGGAAAGGGCATGTGGTTTTCAAGAGCTTGAGATCTGCAAATGTGTCATTGGCGCTGCTGAATTGCAGGGGCCTCATGTGATCAGTGCAGTAACCCTATTACAGAGCATTCTGTGTGTCGTCATAGAGCCCTCAGTTGACGCTTGGTGAATGAAGGAATGAGCAGATAGGTGCTGGTGAAGGCATCTCCAGGCCCCCACTGCGCCCATGTCTCCATCAGCCGATGGACTATGAGAGGGAGGGAAGGAGGATGAGCCCCGAGAGGACCCCCTTTCCAGTTTCTGTGGCTCTTCCCTTTCAATATGGGGCTCCAGCACTGTCCACAGAACTCTGCTCCAGCTCAGTAGTGAACACCAAGTGGTGGACAAAGGGCCTCTCCTGCTGTATCCGAGCCCCAGGAAACAGGAGGTCACAGAATGTTCTGAGTGGGCAGAGGAAGTCTACTTCCAGACACATGTGGAAGAGAAACTGAGCAACGCATCCCTGAAGACACACAGCTTGCAAAGTGATAGAGCTGAACTTGGAGCTGACAGTTGAATCCAGGCCTAGCTCCCGAGACCACCGTCTTAGCCACCAGGATCTGCTGCCTGAGGTCACATGACCTACCACTTGTTTGATGGTGTTGACCCTTCCACTAGCCCTTCTGGGCCATTCCAGGTGTCACTGAGCCTTGTTCCAATCACTGTGGCCCCTACGGCAGTTCTGAGGCCTCCCTGTCATGTGGGAGTAAGTGCTGGTAGCTAGGGACAGACCGAGGACCTGTGTCTTCCTTCTCATGGTCAGCGAGGCCAGAGGAGGGGCAGGCACATAGGGAGCTGAGAATTGCTTTTAGAAGAGCCCCAAAGGAGACTGAGAATGGGGTGTCTCCAGGCTCAGCCTTCCTATGCCGCCTCTTTTCCACAACACCTGGTTCCTGGAGGCTGGGGTTTCACCTCCCTTGTTCTCTGCTGGATCCACAGTGTCCATACTGGCAGCATTTAGGAAGTATATGTTGAACAAATAGGCTCAACTCCTCACAAACCTTTTTTTAAGAAGAGTGATCTGTGTTAAAATTTGATGAAAATGTTTGTCTCAAAATAGACCCATGGGGCTTTTTAATTTATGTAGGTGACTGAGTGATGACACAGGCCAGTGCCACAGAAAGATTGTTTTGACTTACATTTCCTGAGAGGAGAAGGCTTGCCATGTCTCATGGGGCCGCACAGGGAAAGCGTC